TACATTTCTTGACCTCAGCATATGAAGGCATAATCTGGTCAGTACTATGCCTAGCATACTCTAGTAAATATCAAGTCAAAGCAAATTTATTTTGTCATTCCATGTGGTTTTATGTGAGATAAGTTTATTTTGTCATTCCATGAGGTTTTATGTGAGATAAGTTTATTTTGTCATTCCATGAGGTTTTATGTGAGATAAGTTTATTTTGTCATTCCATGTTGTTTTATGTGAGATAAGTTTATTTTGTCATTCCATGTTGTTTTATGTGATATAAATTTATTTTGTCATTCCATGTGGTTTTATGTGAGATAAGTTTATTTTGTCATTCCTTGTAGTTTTATGTGAGATAAGTTTATTTTGTCATTCCATGTGGTTTTATGTGAAATAAGTTTATTTTGTCATTCCTTGTAGTTTTATGTGAGATAAGTTTATTTTGTCATTCCATGTGGTTTTATGTGAGATAAGTTTATTTTGTCATTCCTTGTGGTTTTATGTGAGATAAGTTTATTTTGTCATTCCTTGTAGTTGCCATGAAAATGACACACACAGTGACATTAAAATTTAATAAGAAACAGGGCCTATATTTTAACTATCTTCCCGTAGCATTTTGTAATAGTATAGTAGACATCACACATTTTAACATTTATGAACAATTCATTTTTTATAACATGTTTATAATCTTTATAAAAACAATCTAAGAAGATCAACATATAAATACACTTAACATTTTTAAACACGTATTTTTTTTTTGTTAAGAAAGATAATTTGTCATCTAATTCGTTTTTGTTATGAGTCTTTTACCTAAATATATTACACAGAGAAATGTATAGAGATAGTTATTTTATCTTTTACAGTTCTAATTATATAAAAAATATTAATTGTCACAAAATATGTAAATATTCATTGGTTCTTTTAACTGTGATTGTAATTCGTAATGACATTGATATGAGTGAAATAGCGCGATTAACCACTTAAATAAGGCAAGATAATTCAGGCTAGTAATTAGTGGCCTTATAATATTTCAGTTACCTACCCTAGCAATAATATGGTTGCCTCAAATTGAAACTAAAACAAACATTTTTTGGGTAAATTTGAAAGTTAACCTGAAACATTAATCTTACACTATTATTAATATAAATATATTTTTGTTTTAACCTTCCTTTTATTTTATCTAGATATAACAAACTTGAACACCATTACAACAGTTTAAAATATACAATAAAACAAACACATAATGAAAAATTATAAAATCATTTTAGGGGTTTCCGAACATAAGAATTTCATAATATTTCGAAGTAATGTCATCCTGGGAATTTCCGTTTCTAAATGTGCTGCTTAGTTCATAATGACACATTAATAAAACAATGGCGTTTTTAGTGGGTGTGCTTAGTATGCGTCTTTGTGTGCTTGTATAAATAGAACTTTATTTATTTCCAATATATAAACGTAAATTATAACGTAAAGGTTTAAAGAAACAACGAAGTTAGGTTGAAATCTGAAGTTTAAAATAAAACAGAAGTTCGGATTTTTGAAGCAACAAAACTGAAATTGAAATGTAATGTATTTGTAGCTGTTCATGTAGTTGTTTACGCCTAGTCAATGTGTTGATGGTGACGTGTGTTGATGGTGACGTGTATTGATGGTGACGGTGACATGTGTTGATGGTGACGTGTGTTAAAGGTGACGTGTGTTGATGGTGACGGTGACGTGTGTTGATGGTGACGGTGATGTGTGTTGATGGTGACGTGTTTTGATGGTGACGTGTGTTGATGGTGACGTGTGTTGATGGTGACGTGTGTTGATGGTGACGTGTGTTGATGGTGACGTGTGTTGATGGTGATGTGTGTTGTTGGGTTAGGTTTTTGTTTTAATTGACTTGTTGTTTTAAAATGTTGTTATAATTAGAATAACACAAATCCTGTTCTATTATTCTGGGAAATTCTAAAAATAGTATTTCACTTTGTGAACTTTGTGATACCCTAATTTACTACACCATCTGAAAGCCTCATCAACTATACCTTAAAACACCCACATCTACCACACCGTGTGACACCCGACCTTGTGACGCGACTGATTCACATGATCTTAACCAAGGAGCAAGTTTTATTTTTTTTAAACATTTTCAAAAGTTTTTCCTTTTATCTTAACATCCAGGAGTATTCACGACATTGTGTATTTGTATGACAGCCAGCGAAACTGAAACTAAAACACGTGTACTGTGCTACACACGCGATGTGACGTCTAACACGAATCATGTGATTACCTGCTAGAAAACCAGCGAAACTAAAAGTAAAACCCTTTTAATGTTTCTTGCTTGACTGCTCATTGAGGCTGATCTCAAACCTCAAACCAACTTCACGTGGAAACTAAAAATGTTTTATTTAAACCGGGGGAGGGGGGGGGGGGGAAGGGTTGAAGCAGAGAAGTGTGAAATTAAATTAAATTAACATTACAGCGGTGGGAGGGGGGGGGGGAGGTTTCACGTAGATAAGTGTGAAATTAAATTAAATTAACATTACACATCGATTTGACGAACTATATTGCTGATAGAAACACGGGTAGGCGACCACTGTGGGATGACGGCTAGGGTTAGTCTAGTATAGGGTAGGGTTAAGGTTAGGGTATGGAACAGTCATTGTGTTAGGGTACAGCGATTTTATTAGGTTTATTTATATAAATTTATTAGGATACCGATTGTTGCTAAATAATAAACTCCAATGCTCTCTACCATCTATTGCGCAATCAAGTTGGTCGATAAATATGCTATGTTCATTGTGAAGAGGTGATCGATCAATCCTAGGCTACGTTGTAAAATTGATCGATCAATCCTAGGCTACGTTGTAAAATTGATCGATCAATCCTAGGCTACGTTGTATAATTTATCGATCAATCCTAGGCTACGTTGTAAAATTGATCGATCAATCCTAGGCTACGTTGTAAAATTGATCGATCAATCCTAGGCTACGTTGTAAAATTGATCGATCAATCCTAGGCTACGTTGTAAAATTGATCGATCAATCCTAGGCTACGTTGTAAAATTGATCGATCAATCCTAGTGTACGTTGTAAAATTGATCGATCAATCCTAGTGTACGTTGTAAAATTGATTGATCAATCTCATGCAACTCTCAAGTCAAGATCAAATTTCACGTGACCCAGGGTGCACATAGGTACATCATATTTCATATTACATCGTGTCATGTGGTTATAAAGTGGGAAACTATAGTAGCTTGACCTAATTTACGGACGACCTACACGAGTCAGACATGAGTCATACACGAGTCGGACATGAGTCATACCAAATGTTTATGTTGCCTAAACCAAATATTTATGTTGCTTAAACCAAATATTTATGTTGCCTAAACTTAATATTTATGTTTCCTAAACTAAATATTTATGTTGCCTAAACCAAATATTTATGTTGCCTAAACTAAATATTCATGTTGCCTAAACTAAATATTTATGTTGTCTAAACTAAATGTTATTTATTAACTCTCATGTCTTTGTTTAAATCGCTTTAAACTGGTGTTGTCACGGCTCTTACATTGTGTGGCGTGCTTTATGTTGCTCCAAAAACCCAGTCTAGTATTTCTAAAATTAAAATTATTTTAAAAGCGTGTTGACAAAGACAATGAATAGTTTTACAATTTAGCCAACCCTGCATATCCTTACACTTTCGTGTATTTAAATAGTCTAGTTGTGCCTTCAAATATCAATGTACAGTATACAAACATGGGAACCTCTGTAACAAGATATTAACCAAATATGATCTACTCTAACACCACATTTAACAGGAGGTCGCTAGTGTAAGCAACATGTTTAAACATTGCCCCATAACTATATAAGGATGACTCACGCTAGATAAAATATGGGGTTTTATTTTTTAGTCACTCACCAGATCATTTTCCTTCAGCTGAAGTCAGACACGTGAGTGCAGTCAGGGAATGTGAAGGTCACTGTCTGACTAACACTTCATCTTCAATCTCTGGTGGACTACTTTAATTAAATATAATATATTACAACACAGCCAAGTGGTCACTATTTCTTCAATAAAATAAAGTGGGAATGATCTCCACTAACACTAAGGGAGATGGCACTTACCGTGTTATCGGGATTTAGAATTTAAAAAAAATTTAAATAGAATTGCGCATCTAATTAGAACTTATATGTGAAATTTCGTTTATCTATACGAAACCTTACTCAAGTTATAGGCTTTTGAAACACTAAATGTGGAATAAATTCCACTTCCGTTTATCGGAAATCGCTCAAAAGCCAACACAGAACTACACATTTGATATAATATTTATACATGAAATTTTATCAACCTAGCTGTAACAATACTCAAGTTATCGTGTTCACATACATTCACACACAGAAAAACGGACAGAATTGCAAAGCTACGTTTTTCCTACTCGTTTACGCATTAAACGCCGAAATTTTGATAAATCCGCAATTATAATTTTTACCCGATTAAAATAAGCCCCTTTACTCCGTATACAATGAAGTACTAAAGTTTAAAAGAATGAAAACTGTCAAAATTGAATGAGATTTTGTGCACGGTTACAATACTTCCTCTATACTCTGTATACGAGAAAGTATAAAGGAATACACATACACAATGATTTAAATGCGACAACGTATTTCTGTCGTTTAATTAATCTTTACCGTCATTTACACACGAATTGCTCACTCAATTTCTCTTTAAGGCAGTTTTCTTGGGGGAGGGGGGGGGGGGGGAACAAAACTTCCGAGTGGAGAGCCCACTTAAAATTTCCGAGGGTGGAAGAGGCAAGTTATATTTTTTATCTCATTGCGAGTGGGGTTCGGCGGTCGGTTTAGCGTGCTATATCTAAGCAAATATCGTTGCAGTATTACCTTTGTCAAAATTGTTTTCATTATTTTAAAAATAAATAACAACCTAAGTTGAAAGAACAGATTTTTTTCACAAATGTTTTTTATTTAATAAATTATATCATAGAATAAAATTATAAATGTAATTGACACTACATTTTTAACAGAGCCATTGCTGGCTGAAGAACAAAACATTTATAAATGAGACTGGGTAGAAAAAATGCTTATATAAATTATTACATTATGACCTCAGGATATCTTATGATTGTAAGATCATTCTATTAATGCAGCTACTCGAAAATAGTTGCTTTAAAAGTGATAGAAAATATAACTGCAGTGTGTCGGTAGTCGGTACTTCATTGTGTCATGGATGGTATTCTATAACAAGCTGACTAGATCATTGCAAGCGACGGTGCGACTATCTAGAGCTCTTAGAGAAGTCTAACGTAGCATAGACGACCTTTTCTGTCTTGGGTTTTCTCCTCGTCTTGTGCTTGGGATGAGTTGATTTGCTAGGTTCTATAGTCACGTAGGTCAGACCATTGGAGATAAAACGACCCTCTCCCTGAGGAGTTTTGTTGAGAAAATATATAAAATATGTTTATACATCAACAAAACTGTTTGTCGAATATATATGTATAAATATGTATATATATATATATGTATAAATATATATTATTTATTTAGGGGTAGAGTGTATACATATGTATAATACAATTTTACAATAACATAATTCTTGTCAATTACTTATTAAGCCACTAACCTGATCTTCCGTACCGCAATTGTTAAAGCTGACGTCAAGTTTTGACTTACACAATGTGGCTTGTAGCATTTGCTTAATGCGACCTGTCAAATATCAGAGCCAGAAGACATATTGAAAATATTTTCTTAAAACTATTAAAGTGTTTGGAGTTTTAAAAAAAACAGACTAAGGGCTTTGACTATGTTGAATAAACTAAGATACCTGTACGTCTGTATACAATGCAGGCTAATAGAGCTACTGCAGGTAGGAGAAATACTACTGGTAGTAAAATTCCGAGTGTCGTTGATAAAGGTGTGTTAAATGGTGTGGTCTTGTTTGAATTATCCCTTGCAACAACAATTGCTGTTCATTTAAATGAAATTTCATCCAGTAAGAAAAAGTTATTAAAATCAGTATGACTGTAACTCAGAAGTTTATTTTACGAGGTGTATTTAATTAATAGCATAATCTAAAATTTATTTTGTCATATTTTGAGAGTTTATTATTAAGCTTAAAATGGAGATTTAAAAAGATAAGAAATTTTGTTTTAAGAGAAAATAAATTGCGGTCTAAAATCCAGTGGTTCAGTTACTTTAGTGGTATTATAACAGTTCATTTACCACGTTACATTTGCTGATTTTCTTAAAATATTAATTACGTAGCTTTCGTAACAAGATTTATTTCATTTTTCGGCAAAAAAAAACATTGTAAAACTAACAAAGCCATTACAAGTAAATAAGCGCAAATAGGCATTGTAGTTAAATTTTTCACTTAGATTTGAAAGGAATATTATTGATGCTGCATTTTTTGGTTTTAAGTAAACATATTGAAAACAAAGAACCAGCAGGAACTTACTAGTGTCTTTTAGAATGACGGTCAAATCTGTAAACGACGTTTGATTTCCTGTGACCCGAACTGTGTAGTTAGTAAGATCGCTCGTTGTAATGTTGGTAAATGTGAGAGTCAATGTCTGATTGGTTAATGTTTTGTTTTCTATAGTACATCTGACTTTGTCTGTAATTTCCTCGTTACTTTCAGTAACGGTACAAGACAAAATATCTTCGGATGTAATACATAGAGGTATAACTCTTGTTGTTCCTATTTCAACGGGGTATATAAGTGGTGATGATGTATTTCCACAAAGCTCTGGTGGGGCTAGGTTGATTTAGAATAAAGAAAAGTTAAGCAATGCATATTTTACAATTCAAAATTATTATTGTATCCTATCACATGAAGTTTATTCATTGAGGAAGATGTTTTAATACTTGTTAGTGATTTACAAATTAACTTTAACTAATCCTTTTTAATTATAGCATTTTAAATAAAACCAGTTAGTATCCCTTAAGGTTTTTAAATGTATTACTTTCATAAAAAAATGTTGTCACGGTGATATAGCAATTTAACTAAATTCTTTAAAAATTCATATTGTAATGATGTAATGATTATAGCGATTATATATGTATATACATACATATACATACATATATATATATATATATATATATATATATATATATATATATATATATATATATATATATATATAAAATGAAAGGAATATAACTATTTTTACTTTTTTTATACAGGGTAAGTTTAGTTTCTAGCTGATTAACCCTGTTTACAATGTAGATAGTATGTTGGGTAAATTCTGTTTCTGTGATGTTCTCTATGGTAACAATGACGTCATGTACATATGTAGCAACTTTTCTAGTTTTATAGCTGATACGTCCTGAAGAATGTGTCACGAAAATTAAAGGCGCATCATCTTCAGCTCTAACACACAAGTTGATTGTCTTTGCGGATCCCAACTCAGCGAAATGTTTTTCTGGCATTTGATCTGAACACAGCTTTGGAAAACCTGTGTAAAAATCCATAAATAAAAATAAAGCTTTACCTAACATTTGGCCTTAATGAAACCTACTTTTTATCAGGTCCGTGTGATCGTGCGGGAAAGCGCTAACTCTAACCATATTCATAATCATAATTAACAAATAAAAAAACATCTATACACAACATTATGCCTCTTAGGCGATAGGATTACAAATTCGTCTGAGGGCTAGTTAAATGCACATTTATTATTTTTAAAAGTACATATGATTTTCTATTTTTTATCAATAAATGAATTGGTTGAGATTTTCGTAACAATAAGCCACAGTGAAAAGAGAGTTACAAAATGTAATGTGGCTTAAATTTTGTATTTTAAAGGCAAAAATGATGAATACATGTGGTTAGCTAATACTAGAAGGAGAGGAGTTGGAAGCTTATAACAATATTTTAGAGGTAATGAGAAATTTTATTTTTTCAGAAATTTGTGAATTTAAGAAGTGGGAAATGACGGAAATGTAAATTAAAAATATATTTTATGGACGATCCCTAGCAACATTATTTTGTTTTATACTTTTGAATTGATGCGCCCTAACATTTTCATTAAAGACGGTGAACTTGCAAGTCTAAGTATTTCTTTTCAACTCTTAATTAAATTTTCTAAACATGAGCTTCTATTGTTGAGTTGTATCAATACGCTACGTATTCTGTGGAAAACAAAAAAAGTTCGCCCCGCTATATATATATATATATATATATATATATATATATATATATATATATATATATATATATATATATATATATATATATATATATATTTTATATATATATATATATATATATATATATATATATATATATATATATATATATATATATATTTATATATATATATTAATAAACTTTCCATCCCTTAACTCACCCTACACGCTCTCTCTTGTCAGACAACATACCAGTACATGAAAGAAACGACTTACAATTAAAATCCGACATTATAATAAACTCCCTGCTGTGTGAAATATGACCATTTTGAAAATGACAAGAATAGTCTCCCCTGTCTTTGCAATCAAAGTTGTATATGTCGTAATTCAGGGACTCACTGTTGTTAACCTCGTATATGATGTTATGCCAGGGACCGACCAGTCTTAATGTAGAGTTCAATACAAACGTCATTGGAAGGCATTCAATTTTGACACTGCTATTCTGCTCTAATGGTAATGTTTGATTAGGTTCCATATCCACATTATTGATTTTTATTTTTATTTTTAGAGCTGTGAAAATAAAATAAAATGAAAACCTGAACACATGTATTCATTTTAATTGTAAGCTTTACGGCTCAGAAATAAACTGAGAGGCATACTAATTCTATGTTTTATAAGCCCCGTAGTAAGTTGCGGTTGTTATTTATTTTTAGTATTGTTATTATTTTTAGACCTATAAAAACAATTAAATAAAAAATATTTGCTGTTGACAAAACTGTTTATATCTGTTTCTGCAAATAATTCAGTGAATTCTCTTTTTAATGTTATGCGACATATAAATATGGAATGTACAATTTAACTGTTTTAGGTACACCAAGTACATAAATAGGGCCTATATCAAAGTAGCTCATGCATTACTATAATTATCTTATGGCCGGTTAAAGAAAACATTTGTATTACCGTTTACAAGTAGAAGATAATATCCTGATAACCCTGCTAAAATAACACCGAACAAAAAAAGATGCATTGTTAAATAAAATATACTTCAAGATAGAAGAGAAATGTCATAAATATTTAGTTTCAATTTTAACTTTTCGATTGATAATACTGCAGCTTTCATTTTCTACTTCTTTTACAGTCAAACGTGAAACTGAAACAAATCGAATAAAAGCTATTCCCGATTTTCGAAATTCATACTGAAAGTAACTTCGGTAATTTCCGATAAGAGTAATTTTATAGCGTTGTGTGTATTTCATTTCAGAAAACAATTCGTGTTTTATATTTCACCCTATTTTACACATTCCTACTGATTATTGGTAGCTACTGAAAATGAAGAAGTTTTAATTCTCGAAATTCAGAGATTTTATACCTAAAATAGAGTTATGGTTAGCAAACAGTGATGGCAGTCGAATTTAATAAGCATGAATGATAAGAGCAATGCAGAGGGGCTGTGGAGGGGGCGGTATGGGCTCCACCAGAGCATTTGCTTCTGAAATCTCCATCGCGAAGAAAATAATGGGTTTTTGGTGGTTTTTTCTTTTTTAAATTTAGGGACATTGTCAATTTGTCATCTGAATTTTAATAATTTAAATTTTCCATCTTCTTTCAGACAAAGAAACTCGTTGACGCCATCTGCTATCAAGAAAACCTAGTATTTCAAAAGATGGTTTTATAACCGACAACAAATGTACAAAATCCTTTTTAAAAAATGCATAAAAATGTTTTAATAAAAAAAAAAGCTTTTATATAATTATGCAGTAAAAAGATAAAAAAGTGGTTTTCTTTAAATATAATAATGAACCACTATTTTAATAACTTAAAATAAAAGTTTGGGTCGTTATGGAGTGAACCCTTTTACTAGAATATAAAAAGCGACAAACGCATTTATTTTTAGTTATTTAAATAGTAGTTCCTTGTTATATTTCAAGTAAATATTTATTTTCTCATTTTTAGTTCATAATTATGTGAAAGCTTGTTATTTAAATGTTTTTTCTTCTTTTCTTTTTACTTTCTCGTAAACGAAGTAGAGATATAGAGAAAATTCTTTAATATTGCACAAAATCGAAATCGAGATTTTACAGATCTTGGCGTTTTACACCACTCTGAAGCGGAAAAACTTAGTTTAGCAGTAGGTCTATTGTATGCATGTCTGTGTGTCTGTCTATGAACACGATAACTTGAGTACCGTCACAGATAGGTTGACGAAATTTCATTTATAAGTATGATATCAAATTTGTAGTTCTATATCTACTTTTCTGCGATTTCCGGTAACCGGAAGTGGAACTTACTCTAATTTTTGTTTTTCAAAAGCCTATAACTTAAGTAATGTTTCAGTTAGAAGAAAATTTACAAATATGTCAAATATCTAATTCTCTGTCTACTGATAAATTTTGAGTAATGTCCTGTAATTGGAAGTAGTTCTTTACCCTATGCCCAATTTCTAAAATAAAACGCACATATATTTATTTTTAACTTTAATCCTTTGTCTTTCGTCCGTCATAGTAGGAAACCTGAGAGCACAATTTTTAAACACATCTACCGAACCGAATTATTATTTTTTTAACGTAGGTCGAGAATCCAATACAATGTATTGTAACAAAAAATGTTACTTAATTAGATGATTAAGTTACTCTTTGAAGATTAATTAAAAGTGTTCGTTATACATTACCACTGTTTGGCACTTTTATACACAAGCTGTTTGCTGTTCATTTTGTCTAATTACCTTGAGTAATTGTAGTATTCAAACGGAAAAAGAGTAAAATACCACATCCGATTACTGGAAATGTTTCAATCGGACAGAAGCTTATGCGTACAGTGTATTACTTATCTGTGAAATTTCGTCCACTTTACATAAACAGTACTAAAGTTATTGTCTTTTCAGAAACCGAAAATTTCATAAGTACCACATCCGGTTACCTATACGTACCTATACTTTAAATTTACTACAATACCTATACGTGCAATTTCGTATACACAACTGAAACGCCACTCAAGTTATCGTGTTTACAGACACACAGATACACAGGAAACACACATAGACATACAGACAAAATTGCAACACTAAGTTAAACACAGTCACACACACACAGACTTTTTTCTTTAGTACTTTTAATATGACAGAATGTAGAAGACGCCTTGGATTAGATTTAGTGACAAAAATCAAGAAGAGACAAAAGTAAAAAAGTGACAAATATCATGAAGTGTAATTGTTTTTAATTGTAAGCAATACCATGTATTTCATGTATGTTGATTGTAATAACATGCAACCTACCGACACGGCAAGCTCCTCGCTCGAATGAAGTGAACTGCGTGGAAGGAAATGTATTAAACGGGGAGAAAATACAGACACAGAAACCGTTTGGGCATTATATATTAGATATCCTAATTTAACATCATTATTTAAGTCCTAAGAAACAAAAGATTTATGTGAAAGATTTAATGCCTAACATACTTCAGTAAAAACACTTAATTATTCATTTTGTTTTTATATATTTTTTAACTTTATTAATATTAATTTGTCTAGATCTTCTTTCCACCTAGGTTATCAGTAAATACATTCCTTATATTGTCGATTGTCGAAGGCGAGTTTGAGACACATCATGGCAATGATGGGAAATCACAACACACGCGTTTGATTCTTATTCATTATTATTTTGACGTTAATTTGAATAATTTATTCATTTATTATTCAAATGAGGTTCGAGCTCAGAAAATAATATCGAAAGAAATCAATGTTTTAAAAAGATAAAAATATGTAAGCTGAGGTGTGAATTCTTTTTAAATGTGAATAATAATAAACTTAGCGTTACACGGGGCAGGTGAAGTTGAGTTCACCTGTTTCTTTGACTTAATCATATGAAGGGGTAGGGTGGTAACACTCATGCTGAGCCGAAATCCGTGTTTTAAAAGACAAAAACATGTTGTCTAAGGCTTGGCGGGACACTGGGCAGGTGAAGTAGAGCTCTCCTGTTTGTGTGACCTCAGTATATGAAAGGATAGTGTGGTCAGACACATGCTCAGCCGAAACCGATGTTTTTAAAAGACAAAAACATGTTATCTCAGGTGTGACGTCTTGTTGAATGTGAGGTCCGGCTTTTCTGTGAAGACTAGTCTTCAGTACTCGTTACGCGTGAGTTATAGGCCTATATATTTTAAATGTAATTTCCGTTAATCGGAAGTAGTAATTTGCGATATTTCCGATTTCTCAAAAAAAAAACGCATATAAATTTATAAAGTACTTATAATATTCCGCACTATTATACACCTATTTTTTGTTGTTCACTTGGTTGCGCGATTCTTTTTACTACGAAATAGATTCTTTTTACTACGAAATTCTTATCTATTTTTAAGAAGTTAAGGTAATTAAAAATGGTTTAAAAATTATATCTATATCCCGAGTGACCATCCCCGTAGTGTTATAAAAGAATATTCGAGAAAGTTTAGGGAGATCACTCCCAGTTTATTTAAAATGTTTCACAATCGTACAACACACTTTAGTACAATAGGTTATCTACTCACTATTCACCAATCTAGTGAAAAAACTTGAGATTTTAATTATCCCCTCCCCCGGCAACGTCTTAAAAATAAGTTGGTATAGTGTTTTTAGCGTTTCTATGTTTTTTTACGGTTACACAATCATACAATACACTTTTATACTATTGGTTTCTTTTATAAATAGTAAAGTTTATTGACTCACTAATCCAGTGTAAATCCTTCCGATTTTAATCAGCGAAAAAGCGCCCCGCCCCCGATCTAGGTAAAATTGGAAAGCGTTTTTTGCTGATTACTTTTTTTTATAGATATATGTCTTACAGTTACACATTCAAGGTAGAAAACAGGTAAATCAGTATGCAAAGGCTTGTAGCCGTTGAATTTCTTAACTTTGACTGTTTTTAATTCAAAACTGAAGCGTAAATTGAGCTTTAAAAAATGTTAACCCTTTTGGCGCCCCCCCCCTACGGTCGGCGCCCGTGACGGCCACCCTCCAGCACCCACCATAGCTACGCCTCTGTAGCCACGACTCTTTTATTTAACCTCCATCCCATCCCGTCCCTTTCAGCGTGTAGTGGGTACTTGGGAGCTAAGTAAATGTTACAAGTGTGGACGTGGTGTGATTGGTTGGTTTGCTGTGGTAAGTGTGGTTGTTTAGCATAATATGATCAATCGGTGTTTTAATGCATGATTACTTTTAAAAATTAATAGTACGTCCACATTTTATTATCCAAAAATTAACTGAAATAGTAAAAAAAAATATTGTTAAGAATGTAAGTGATTTTATACGTTACGTAAGTGGTATGGTAAGAAAGGGCGGTGTCAGGAACTAAGTTAGGGACGGGCGGATTTAGTTCGTTTTTTGTTTAGAGTAGTATAATCGACAGAACTTTTTCAAACGGCATATAGTGTAGCTATTTTATTGAAAAATGAAATACAATATTAGCAATTTTAATAATTTTAACAAAATACATTAGAGGTAATTCATTTAAAGACGTTCACTGGGAGGCAAGAAGGAGCCAAGCAAGTCGACATTTTTATGGATGCGTGTGGACAAAGTTGAGGGGATATACATTTTTTTGTGTGGACTTCATACATGTAGGACTATTATTTAAAACAACAGGTAACTTGTCGACAGTTCTGGTGTTAAAGAATGGGATTTTCTGAAATCAGTTTTGTTAAACAATACTCTATAAATAATTACACATTCCATGTAGTTTATGATAAGTAGTTTATAGATTACTGTCGTTGATAATGTGTAAAATTTTAATTTTAAAACAAAAGATACAATTGTATTTTATGAAAGGCCCTATGAAATAAATTGTAGTGTCATAATTCTTTTTCATCCCATGTTACATATTTTCACCGATCAATGAATCAAAACTTTTATTCCGTTAAATGTGTATTACATTTTATATTATTACTGTATTCTCACCAACCGAGCTAAATGACACCTAATAAAAAGGCTCATATTATATCGACATCATTTATGAGAGAACAAATCTGTTGTTAAGAATAAAGTGGGATCAGCTTTTTAAAAATGTCACAACAATGCTTCTAGAAAATCGATATTTCATTTTTTTTTTGTAAACCGTATTATTTGCCCGAAGATTAACATGTCTGTGTTCAGTATTTTTCTGATGTACATCCTTTTACCTCTTGCTCAAACTTCAGCAATGAACATTTTAGTCCCAGTTATTTGGCCTGAATTCCCCTCAGATGACGCCTGCCCCCACGTGGTACTGTCTGGAACCTTCTTTGAAGAATTTCCGAGTAGAGGATGAATAACTCTCTGATCAGCGTCAGCAAGTGTGGCTACCACACAGCCATCTTCACTTAGAACATTGATATTTAAGTGTCCATAATCTAAGCTTGCTTTAGTCTTTTTGTTGTCTCTTCTTCTTTTAAAACATACAACTGAAAATAAAGTATGAAAACATGAGATATTTAAAGAAAATTAGAACAGTAATAGAGTAAAGAGAAAATTTCGAAATAAATAATACATTTTTGGATAAATGAGTATATGCTATTATTATATTATAACTTACCAACAATAATAATACAAACACCAATACAAACGCCAAAAGATAGTGGAGCAGCAACAACAACAACTAACGTTCTAGAGTTGTCTTCTTTAGTAGCATGTACTTTATTTTTCTTCGTCGTCTTTTCAGTTCCCACCACTAATTAAGAATATATTTAGTTTATAACATAGGCCTAAAGGCACACAATACTTACAATTTGGAAATGTTTATGACAAAACATAACGTCCAAAAAACAAATCAATATTCCAAAGATTACTTAAATCGTTTTAATAGCTATTTATACGTTTTTGAAAGTGTCCGTTTGTTCCATTGTTTGTTTTTGGTTGTTTTGTGTTAAAGTATGTAGTTTTTGTATAAGAACTAGATATTTTAAACTTTGCACATTCTCGATGACAGCATAAACATCTATATACTAGATGAATTGCCCGTTAAGGTAGATATACAACGAGCGCTAGGTTGATAGTGTTGTCCTTTTCTCTAAACCGAAACCAAAATCCCCACATCAACTTAAAAAGCGAAAAATGTCATTGAAAAGGGATTTATCGGCATTTTGACCGGATAAAACATTGATAAACACATAGTAACTGCACATTAGTACTAAATATAGTCATGTTCATACCCCTAAACCCTGTACCTAAGCTCAAACTTGACATAAGTCGCCTTTAGAGTATCTTTCATAAAATTCTTCGGAAGGAGAAAATGAGCCCGCTCCCACATTCCCTCCAAAAAACGTCTACCACCCTCTATAACGAAATAGAATTTATATAGAAAATATACTTTTATCAGTGTGTCCCCTCCCACGGTAAATTAAGTCCATCCCTCCGAAAATTTCGAGCCCCTCCCCAGAAAAGAACATCTAACCCCCTCTTCCCACCTCGAATAAAAAACAATTTATACAGAAAACATATACTTTTACCAGGGTCAGCAACCCCCCATCTACTGCCCCCCCCCCCCCCCAAAAAAAAAAGACTGTGCCTTCCCCGGAGATAAAAGTCTGATTGAAACACTATCTGCATGATTGAGATTTAGCTGCCAAATGTAGGAAACGGGTCTAGATTATACAAGTAGTGTCTACTTTTAGTTTGCATATAGACGTGCTTCAATGTGTGGGCGAGGCGGCTCCACCTCCCAACCCCCGTCCCCCCACCCCGTAGAGTCGCCTGAGAGAAATTCTAAATTCGACTTTTTTTCATTTTGTAGATAAAGCTTAAATCCGGTTAAAATGCCGATTCTGGATAAAAATCAGTTTTCAATTACAATTTCGTAAAATTTTACGTTGAGTTGGTGATTTTGGTTTTTGGTTTCAGTTTCGGTTTAGAGAAAAGAGACAACAATATCAACCTAGCGCCCGTTCTATTTCACCCTCAACGGGCCGTTTATCTCGTTATCACAGAATTTCGTTAAAACTAAATTAGAGATTACCATATGCCTCAAAACAATGGAAAGTACATTGTTATGGCGCTCACCCAATCATTCAAGTAAGCTCGTGTTAATGTAGAATGTTGTTTATAAATCTTAAAGCATAGGCTGAAGTTAATCAGTGCCAGATAAAAATCGCCTATTATAAGAAAATACACAAACGTTTTCAACAAATAGTTGTAGTCTCTCTGTGTATCGACTTGGTATTAACCGGATTGGAAATTACATGTATCTAAAAAGTAGTACTATTTTCGTGAAGTTCTGTTTTAAGGTAATTTTTTGGAATGCCCAAAGTGTTTAATAATTGTAGAGAAATGCGAAGCCCTCTCACAGCCTTAACAACTTTGTTTTTTTTTTGTTATTTCATAATAAAATAGCTTTCTTTTCTACTAAGAATTGTAAAACTATTAGCTACAATTACGATATTAGATAAGGTTACACATTTTAAAAATAGTTATACAATTAAGTGCTTTTTACCTTCTGCTATATTGGGTATGTTAGTAGGCGCACTTGTTGAAACTGCAAAAAATATAATATGAAAGTAGAAAATAATAGTAATTTTTGAAAAAATAATTAATACACATCTGTTTTGTGAACGGGAAAGAACATTAAATTTCAATGTATTTCTTTCACTTTCACCGCTGTGTGGTAAACGAGCGATGAGTCGAGTGTGACGGTAAAACCGTTTAGGCTAGCTCCATTTTATTCTTCCACCACCCTCTACCTGCTCTATTACTCCCCGCCCCTCTACAACTACTTACATTCTTATCTTTCGTCCCCCTCACAGGCTCCTCTCTAGTTGGCTAGATTGTCCACGTGACACACCGCCAATTTTAATGCATAAAAGGGGATGCAACAATGAAATTAACGCACTCTTCCAGCACTGAGCTCAGCTGGTGGTGTCGCACGCGGCGTTGGGGCCGTCGGCCCGACCTCCACGTGTTTTTTTTTGGTTTGGTTTTACTTAATTGTTTCTTAATTTTACTTTACCAATTTTTATATGCATATTTGATTACCATTGTAACAAGTAGTTTCAATAAATACCATATATATTATCTCGCTGTTGTGTATTGTTACTTAAATACTTAACACTGTTAACCTGTTCGTGGCTTAGTCCATGTGACAGTCGATAACTTACCTGATTTACTTAAGTCAACTTTACACTGCCCGTGTCTTAGCACACAGGGCATTTGAATACTTATTTGACCTAAACTATTCCTGCCTGTGACGTAATTCCACTTGGCAGTTGAGTAGACATTTCAGTTACCTTTTGTACTACTTTTATCCTGCACGTGTATTAGCCACGGAGCAGTAGATATAATATTATATACTGCATCATTCTATTTTACAACAGGCCGTAAACTGCGGGCATTGAGTTGACCCGTAGTCATCGGACCTGATATTTTATTTTATTCACCGGCCGTAAACCCTTGCCAGAGACAAGAGGTCATCGGACCAGGTAAAACCCATTATTATTCTAATAAGGCTGTAAACTTTGGGCATTGAATTGACCCTTAGTCATCAGACCTTAATGATATTACCTCTAGTAAAACTATACTAGAATCTATATTCCAGGTAAAGAGGCGGCACAGACCCTCCTACCGGTTGAATCCAGCATTTTACTGATTATCACTATTATACGGTACCGAATATACTTTTTTATTACCGTTAACATCGAGCCTAACTACTGGGTCAAAATTGAAATTACCAGCTTCCTCATTCATCGCGTTAAAGACAAAATAGTTAAGAAGTCCATCACAGTGGCGGGACTATAAAAAAAAGTCCACCCTGCAAACAAAAATTTTGGCCTCTGCCTATTAAATATGATATTGGAGTGTAAGATAGTAGATGCCTTTGCGACTCTTTTATGTGTAAAGCAGGGGTCTCCAAACTTTTCAGTCCGAGGGCCGCATTAACGATCAAATTTCACTTCGGGGGCCAGTTTCTTCCAGGCATGTCTTTGATTTTTCTGGGCGAAGTTCCTCAGCCATCACCAACAAACGTTTTTTCCGTGGACAAAAAGATCTCCGCGGGCCGGATGAGAGGACTTCGCGGGCTGCATCCTGGCAGCGGGCCGTAGTTTGGAGACCCCTGGTGTAAAGCAACGAGACTTACCCAGAGTAGCTAAGCATCGAATTATCTAAACAACGGCAGTGAAATAATTGTTGTCTACAAGATAAGCTTATATCTTTATGATTAGAAGTTAAAAATCAATTCCAAATTTTATATAATATTTTACATAATTATAATATGATTAAAGGCGTTATAGTTATGACATACTATATCACAATAATATATTACGGATATTTGTGATTAACTTACTTAGATCTGCATTTCTTTGCAACAATAGAAACACTGTTAATCGTTCATAAGGTGAAAAATGTATTTCAACTCTTTTGTTTCCATAGTCTTCTTCTTTGACGTTTAGTATGCGTAAGGTAATAATCGACTTGACAGGGACGTCTTCCGTTTTTTCAAAGTCAAAAATATATTTAGAATTGCGTGTTGTTGGAAAAACGTAATTTGTATCTATTATCATCATAGGAAAGTTTTCTGAACTTGCACACCCAACAACACTAAATTTCCAAGTACCATTTCCACCAGGGCTAGTCGTACATGGGACGCTGGTATTGTTGCATTCTGGACACTGTTTCCACTCACCTGCAAGTATAAATAAATCTTTATACTGGACTATATAGAACAAAGCTTAGTTCGGTCAAACTAGGATGTTGTATTTTAATAAAAACTTACACATGTTAACGAATAATCTAATCCGAGTAGACTGTTTTCCATCGTCGCAGGTATAAGAATCCATATTTACACAGTTTACGTTGTCAATGACGTATTCTATGCTGTTATTTTCACGTCTCAAGACTGCATTACCTTGTCTTATAGTAAGTTCTCCTGTCTGCCTATTATTATTGAATCGACATTTTAAAGTTACTTTACTACTAACATCCACAGTTGCTGATGCATCATTTTTAAATGCTGCTCCATTCAAACCAAACTTGAGGCGTTCTGAAAATCATATACATATATATGTATATATACATATTTATATATATATACATATACATATATATATATATATATATATATATATATATATATATATATATATATATATATATATATATATATATATATATATATATATATATATATATATATATATATATATATATATATATATACTAGGCATACTGCCTAGCTTCGCTTAGGTTTTTAAAAGGCATTTGAGAATTTGAATACTTAATTATTTAGCGATGGATTGGGTGTGGAGTGCTTTAATAAGTTTAATAAGTTTAATTTAAACAGTAATGCTAACTTTAGAAAAAATGTTTTTGTTAGTCATTTACATGCAGATTCGTAGCGAATTTTCGGAAAGTACGCAATGTATAACTAAAATGGAATTAGAACTACACAGGTTTCATGAACAGTATATCTCATAGTTTATATTACATTGCCTTTTGAAATTAATTAATTAATTTAATTAACATACTTAACTAAATTAACAACTTAATTTTGTACTAAAACAAATGCTATACTTCGTCATTTTCTGTTTCTGTTTAAAATAGTATACAATTATTTGAAAAATAATAATTTTAAAAACGTTACCTCCCTTGAAAACTAAACGTATGACGTATGTCATTGTTTACTTATATTGTTTGCTTATATAAGAAATTACGTTATATGAACTTATTTAACGACTATAATGGCTATTTCCGACGGGAATAAAGTTTTTTTGTTACCCTCCATGGTCGGTCTACGACGTCACATAATATTAAGGGGATCGTTCGTCAATTTATTTATATATATATATATATATATATATATATATATATATATATATATATATATATATATATCTCATATAAGGAGAATTTCACTCAAGATCATCTTTTAGCCCTCGTCGAGGGCTTTGAGTCTGACCAACAGTTTTTCCATACGGCCTAGTCATCTATAGTAGTGTATGCAAAAACTTAGCATGATGTACAGACATTAAGTAACCTAAAAATTGTGTTAAAATTTCCCTGTTTTTCCCATAAAATACAAAGATTATATAGGGAAATACAACTGGTCAGTTTTGACCGCTTTACGAAGTTTTCCCAGAATTGCCGAGTTTTTTTATGAAACCCCTAGGTGTTCTTCTACCACCTCACAAAATATCAAGGGGGGTCGTCGGAGGAAATTTTTTTTCGTAATAGAGCTCATATAAAGAGAATTTCACTCGCGGTCACTTTTTAGCCCTCGTCGAGGGCTTTGAGTGTAACCGACAGTTTTCCCTAAAGGTCAAGCCATTGACCTAGGAGCATGCAAAAAATTAGCCAGATATACTGAGCTTAAGTACCCTAAAGTCTGCGTTGAAATGACCCTCTGTTTTTCCCATAAAATACAAAGATTATATAGGGAAATACAACTGGTCAGTTTTGACCGCTTTACGAAGTTTTCCCAGATATGCCGAGTTTTTTGTGACACTCCTAGGTGTTCTTCTACCACCTCACAAAATATCAAGGGGGGTCGTCGGAGGAAAAATTTTTTCGTAATAGAGCTCATATAAAGAGAATTTCACTCGCGGTCACTTTTTAGCCCTCTTCGAGGGCTTTGAGTGTAACCGACAGTTTTCCCTAAAGGTCAAGCCATTGACCTAGGAGCATGCAAAAAATTAGCCAGATATACTGAGCTTAAGTACCCTAAAGTCTGCGTTGAAATGACCCTCTGTTTTTCCCATAAAATACAAAGATTATATAGGGAAATACAACTGGTCAGTTTTGACCCCTTTACGAAGTTTTCCCGGACATGGCGAGTTTTTTGTGACACCCCAAGGCGTTCTCCTACCACCTCACAAAATATCAAGGGGGGTCGTCGGAGGAAATTTTTTTTCGTAATAGAGCTCATATAAAGAGAATTTCACTCGCGGTCACTTTTTAGCCCTCGTCGAGGGCTTTGAGTAAGACCGACAGGTCAGCCCTACGGTCAAGCCATTTACCTATAAACATGTCAAAAATTAGCCAGATGTAAACAGGGTAAGTGCCCTAAAATCCGTTTTGAAATGACCCTCTGTTTTTCCCATAAAATACAAAGATTATATAGGGAAATACGACTGGTCAGTTTTGACCCGTTTCCCGATTTTTCCCGGACATGGCGAGTTTTTTGTGACACCCCAAGGTGTTCTCCTACCACCTCACAAAATTTCAAGGGGGGTCGTCGGAGGAAATTTTTTTTCGTAATATAGCCCATATAAGGCGCCGGTCAGTCGAGGTCAGTTTTGACCCCTTCTCCGTAGACTTTTCGGCCAACCGTCACCGGCCTTCGTGTTCTATTGCCCGAAGGCACCATCGTGCCAAATTTGACGCGCCTGCGGCGCCGGGAAGTGCCCTATCGGGCACTTGACCACTTTGCTTTATATATATAGATATATATATATAAATATAAATATATATATATATATATATATATATATATATATATATATATATATATATATATATATATATATATACATACATACATACATATATATTCTGAAATACAGACAGACCAGGACACAACACAACAGACAGACAGGCAGGCATTCAGGCAGGAAGTCAGTCAGTAAGACAGACAAACGAAGAAACAGACAGATAGTGGGTCGCTTCCTAAATGTCAGTAAAGGAATCCTATACATAATATATTGTCATTTAAATAATAGTGTATTATTATATATTTTAAAAAATCTTTTATTATATCTTTTTTAGAGCATTATTAACTAAAAGCTTATTATTTAAAAAAAAAGCTTTTTAAAGCTTTTGTTTAACTTGCTTTCTCTTTCTATCTTCCTACTGTCTCTATATCTGTCTATATCGAAACGGGCGAGTTCAATTTCTAGAACTTCTAACCGATCAATTTCTCTAAAATTCTGGACGTGGGACTAGACATTCTGACAATGCAATATGATATTAAATTTGACTCACTGTTGGCTAATTGTTTGTAAGAGAAAATATGGAGGCTAATAAAGATTATGAATCTTAGGCTACTACCCCTCCCCCCATATTCTACATCTTAATACGCCGCAGCCTCCACAGATCCCTAAAGAGAAGCTTATGTTAACTATTAACGGTCCTAGGTGCTTTGACCACAGGTGCTTTGACCATAGGGGGTTTGACCACAACGGGGCTTTGACCACAGAGGGGGCTAACCATAATATATAGATTTTAAAATAGATATTATAAATTGTTATTTGATTTAAATTTGTGATACAATTAATACGATTTTATACATATTTCCTGGGACGATTAATAGAAATTAACGTACTAAAAAAAAGAACGACATTTTAGTCTCCACATAAAGACTGGTGCTTCATAGAATTTATTTTAAATATAAATGGAACATAAATAATGCGACATATAACAAGTTTTACAAATAAATAATGTAGATGTACTTGAAAATACATAAATAGAAAGGATAACAAAGGATAAAAAAACATGCCAACAGTGTAGTCAAAGAAGTAATAATTGTATGGTTTAGATGACTTGTATTTATATATGATGAATTAACATATTATACCCTGCCGCAATTTAAAAACATAATTACACGACATTTAAAATGAATTATTACAATATATGGACAAAGCGCTTATTATCAAACGCCAGCATTTGACAAACCACCTGTGATCATAGACCCTATATGGACTAAAAAACCCTGTGATCAAAGACCCTATATGGACAAACCACCTGTGTTTAAAGACGGACTGGGCGCTTGTGATCAAACACCCGTTACAAAACCACCTGTGATCAAAGACCCTCTGCTGCGAAAACACTTGTGGTCAAACCCCCTATGGTCAAACCCCCTATGGTCAAACCCCCTATGGTCAAAGCTCCGTTATGGTCAAAGCACCACTGTGGTCAAACACCCTATGGTCAATCCCCCTATGGTCAAAGCTCCACTATGGTCAAACCCCCTATGATCAAACCCCCTATGGTCAAAGCTCCGTTATGGTCAAAGCACCACTGTGGTCAAACACCCTATGGTCAATCCCCCTATGGTCAAAGCTCCACTATGGTCAAACCCCTTATGGTCAAACCCCGTATGGTCAAAGCTCCGTTATGGTCAAAGCACCACTGTGGTCAAACCCCCTATGGTCAAACCCCCTATGGTCAAAGCACCTGTGGTCAAAGGTCCGCGCACCCTATTAACTATTGGCTACTGTCCACTCGTGTCAATTTTTTATATTTTAAATGTCTTTAAACCACACCTTACATTTCCTCCTATAACCTTATTCTCCTTACACCACTGTTTTTGATCCTATGAATATTACATTTGCACAAGTTAACTCTCTCCTCTACCTACCGGTTTTCGCTTCTCCAGCTGTAAGAGGTACTTTGGCGTAAAAGCTTCGTTCTTCGGACACAATTAATTTAATTTCTTTGTCTCCATAATCTTGTTCAGTGATGTTTGTTATATATATGGTAATGTACAAACAACCTTCTATTGACGACGCATTAAACCTATATTTAGAATTCAATGCTGTGTCAACGCCGTCAATTATCAATTTTGGAAAATCTTTAGACTTGAGATAACCAGAAACGCATATTTCAATTTTTCCTTCTTGAGTCAGATAAAAACTGAACGTACATTTTTCATTATTACAGGCTCTTGATGTGTTTGCTTCACCTGCAGATAATGTTTGCAAGTATGTTAAAGTTACTTGTTAATAATTAAGGACATAAGGGAATGTTTATTAAATTTAGATATGTAAACTAAGTGCCAAAACCAAGTTGCCACCGAATCTATCAAAGGTGAAGAACTATTAAGATGGACATATAATTTCCTAAAAGATAGTGTAATTTCATTTTTAAAGAATTTTAACATTCGCACTTCAATATCTGAGGCATTATGTTGACTAATGAAATAATTTAAAACACAAAAGCGGTAATATGCTCAACAAGCTATTGAAATCACTATCCAGACAAACTATTGGACTAGCTGAACCAAAAAATAACTGAATATAGTTGCAGTTACATATAAAGCTGTTGGGGTGTAAAATCTAAGTAACTTTTGTATCCATTTGTTACAGGGGGCGGGGGCTGACAAGTAGTCTCCGTTTCAAAAAAATCAAACAGCGTCGGTATTAAAATGGTAGTATTTATACAGACCTTTAACCTGTTCTTTTTTAATACCGAGAGGGATAATTTATTAGTTTACAGACTCCCGCCTTTTTACCACAGGGATGGTTTTGGGATAGAGCATGGGTTTAAGGGTCAGTCCAAAATTCAGTATGTCCACCACATTACTGGCGTAGGGTATAGCCTCGTTCGCATAGCAATAATTTGGGTAAAGTTAATGTAGAAAAAAACGCATAATATTCAGCTAAAATAGGACGTTCATGTCAGATACACAAGTCTATTGATTTCTTATATTCCTTTACTGTCAAGGATCTGCGGTCCGCTACAGAATTTACATTTATATATTAAACCAGGGGTCGGCAAGGTGCAGCTCGCGAGCCGCTTGCGGCTCTTTTGATGTCATGATGCGGCTCTTCAGCCCGATGCACAAAAATTGATAATAATTTTATTTTATTTTTAAAGCTCATAAAAGTATTAGTCTGGAACACTCGGTAATGAACGATATGATAGTAAATATAACTATAAGCACTCGCTATTCTATTAGATTTTTTAGTTACTCCCTATTTCATTGTCCTTCCTTGTTTTCTAAAACTGAGTTATTTAAATGTAAACAATGCCTGTGTTTGGATCATATTTATCGGGGCACTGGTTTCCTACACTACCGCCCACCACCATGGCGTGCTGTATGAAAGCCTTGAGTGTAAGTTAATTACTAACGGTGATATTGTTAATGACTCACCGCCTAAGTGTCGAGGACGGAAAGTGGCGCTCTCGTGAACCCGATTACACGGCCCCTAGCTCGGTTTAATCATCAAATGTTATATTGTAGGACGCTTCTTAAAACTAAGGTCAAATTGCACCCTGCAGAGATGCCGGAGGACGTGCCTGATTCGATTTAGTGAGTGACTATCTCAACTCATTGTATCCATAGCCTATCGCGCTACTTAAAATAAACGTAATGCTGCCCATCGTGAATATAGTGTATATCCTTTTTTATAAAAGGAACGTAGGCGCCATAGCGCTCGCGGGTGAGCCCGGTGTGCTTTGGGTCGCCCAATAGAGCAGAAGCTGACCGATAGTTTATCCATAATGCCGATTCATTTACGCAAGTTTATGGAAAAAATGAGCCAGATGTACAGAGCCAAAGTTCCTAAACACTGTTTTTGAAAAGAGTTATCGTTTTTCAGAAAATTATCAATGTTTATATAAGGAAAATTCGGACCGGTCAGTTCTAAAGGTCTTCCGGAATTTTCCGGAACATATTATAGTTTGTTTTTTTGCCACCCCAGTGGGTCGATCTACGACCTCAGGAGTTATGAAAGGGTTCCTACGTGGGAATTTTTGTTTCGATATATAGCTCATATAAGGTGCTGGTCAGTCGAGGTCAGTTTTGTCCCCCTCTTCGTGGGGGGGGGGGGGGACTTGATGACCAACCGGCACCGGCTCTCGTGTTCTGTTGCCCCAATGCATGATCCTGTCAAATTTTAAGCGCCTGCTGCGCCGGGAAGTGCCTTATCGGCAGTGGCGTAGCGAGGTCGGGTGTCACCCGGTGCGGCACTTAATGGTGTCACCCCCCCCCCCCCCAGAGGCGAAGCGACCCTTCCCGGGGACATACTTTCACATTTTCGATTTGCACGCCCCCAAACTTTCGATTTGCACCCTCCCCACCCCCCCTCAAACTTTCGATTTGCACCCCCCCTCAAGTTTTTCTCTATATATTTTGCTATTTTTTGCCTAGGTGTCACCCCCCTAAATGGTGTCACCCGGTGCGGCCCGCACCCCCCCCCCTCGCTACGCCTCTGCCTATCGGGCATCCGACATCTTTCTCTCCTTACATTTTTAAATTAAAATAGCGACAGTAAGCTTGCATATTACCCTTCCAAATAAAAGTTCTGCCTGCTAGTTAGGTGAAGGGTCACATATTGTTTTCTTTTTGCATTTGTAACCAGTGGCAAAGCGAGGTCGTGTGCCACCCGGTGCGGCACTTAATGGTGTCACCCCACTGAGGCGTAGCGACCCTTCCCGCGAACAAACTTTAAATTTTCGATTTGCACCCCCCCCCCCCCCCCCCCCTCAAACTTTTGATTTGCAACTCTTAAAACACTATTTAACACTCGAATTAATCACTTAATTAAGTGGAATTATCATTTTTCTACATATATTTTGCTATTTTTTGCCTTGTTGTCACCCCCCTAAATGGTGTCACCTGGTGCGGTCCGCCCCCGCCCCCCCTCGCTACGCCTCTGTAACATTACTTAAATTCATGCGCCTCGGTTTGAAGAAGTAAACGAAAAGTTGAACTATACGCACAAATCCAAAGTACGCATCCAGGGCTTTAAAGGTTAGTTAACCAACACATTATTTTTAAATATCAAAGCACCGATTTAAATTAACTTATTACATCACCGTTCTCGACAGCCCACTTGAATTTTTCCCGGTGTCCCAATCGATCCGTGATGAATTATGAAGCAAATCGATTTGAACAAGTGGGCTGACGCTAAAAACAGTTGGCAATACCTCAGCCATAAGTATGTATGTTGGGAGAGTGGGGGGGGGGGGGGGCGGAGCTAGAGTGGTGACGTCAGGTTAACTAATGTAAATAAATATGACATAATCCCTAAAAATAGACATAGCTGTTGTAATCAATATTTCAACAGCATCCAGAAAAAAAGTCAGAAAATTGCCTATAATTGAATCTTCGTTTCTCAACTGGAAAGAGTGTGGCCAGTAGAGTGTTAACGTATTTGCATCCGTTTAGTATGGGGGTCATCACGCTTTTTTGACGATTTTTACCTCCCCCATCCTCACTGTATAAAAAGCCCGACCCACCCATTTAAATAACATCAAACGTCAGTTTACAATTCCCCCTCTCAAAAGAACAGTTTTATTGATTTAAAACATTTATTTCGTTCTAAAGTATTGACTGAGATAGGTCAAAATTGAGTAGATTAAAGGATTTTTAATTCAATATACAAAAATATCTTTCTAAAATGCGAAATAACGGCTAAAACAGCTTCTAAAATTACTTTTGTGTGGCTTCATACTTTCTAACACCCCCTTCTTCCCCCCCCCCATCACATATCGTAACAAATTTCCAATCATCCCGCCTCCTTCCCCTCTCTCTTTGATAAATGGACGATTCCCTGAGCTATTGCAAAAAAATAATGTAAAATGTGGTGCAGTTTTTTTTTGTTTTTATAGATAGGTATTAGGCTAAGATATGACTAATCTTATCAACATCGTCAATCACAACTACTTGTTTTGTACAACACAATTAATGATCTAAGTATGATTATACACAGAAAAGTTTCAAACTGCAAACTTGGTTGATTACCTGAGTAAAAAAGAATGAGAAAAAACAGTAGAAAACACACAAATAAATTTGGGGTGGTCATTTTTAAGATAGAACATTCGACACTTATTCGATATATTCCGATATAACGTAGTCTACACTATTTTAAAACAGATCCCATAGAAGAAGACGTGTAAGCAATATAAAACCACATTTTCACAAGCTAAGTTATTGCGTCCTAACCAACTCTACTTCAATGACAAATAAACCGAAAGTCTGGATTACTATTACGCTACATTAAAATTTAGACTTATATTCAGAGAAGCTAAACAGAAAGTTTGGGAATTCCCTATGCGAGAATCTATTTTTAGTCGTCCCATAGGAATGGTTGAGGGGGCAGTATCATCCAGTCTAAGGGAGAGAAACAAAAATAATCGCCAAAAATAAACTATTAGACATACAGCTGTCAAATTTTTACAGTAACAATTATGATTTATTAGCATTAATGCAGCATATATTGTAGGCGTATGTAAAATGCAAAATATTTTCATGTAGATTCTAAACAATTTTTTTTACATTTGTTACTTTTTGTAAACTAATGTTTCAACCATTAACGAACTTACTTCCAATTCGGCATATAGGATTACTAAAATAATATCAAACTGATGCAAAGTGAATTTTTCAATATTTTAAACATTTTATTAATTTTCGTCGTGTTTGTATGTTAATATTGAAAATTCTAAAATTTTCAATTTTCGTCGCTATGCAATTTCGTTAGATCAGGCTTTAGATAATACTGTAAGTCATCGTTATTGCGATTTTTAGAAAAATCTGTTGATAATTTGGAAAAATGTATACGAAAAACTAAAATAAGTACCATATTTTAAACAATATGTAACACATATCATTGTTAGCAGCCGGGGGGGGGGGGGGATAAATAATACGTTTTAATGTATTGGGTTGCGGCCCCTGTGGGACCGCAACTGTTGCTGTCGTTTTTTTGCATGCTCTTCGGTGAGCGATTTTTACCTGCGTTCTATATCATGTGACATGGCACAGTTCGTGCCTGTAGCCGTGTCAGTCAGACCCAAGGCTGCTGTGGACACGGAGGGTGACGTTGCCTATAGGTAGATCATGTAGACTTAATGAAGGGCAGCATTTTGCTGTGTTCTACACTGTTTTTCTGTGGTCTACTGTTCTCTACAGTATATTTGGTCATCAGTAGTGTGTCTACTGTTTCCTACTGTGTTTTTACGGTTGTACTGTCCTACATCGCCGTTTACGGCTTGATGTTAATGTCAATAAAGTCAGTAGTTGTCAACAATAGCGTCGTTCCATTGTGTGCTTTATCTCAGGGTCAGCTCTTTTAAACGCAACACCTCAGTGGGTAAGAAACATCCCCATTGAGAGAGTGCTACAAATACATTTGTTTTTCTTTTATTCAAAATGTATCAACACATTAACCAAAGTAATTGAAATATTACTTTCTTAAAGTATTATTTATAGCTGGAACTACACCTAAAGCATTCTAGTACAATTTGAATATAGCAGATTTTAACAAAATTTAATGCGTATTTTCTTTTTCTGGTCAGATTTGAAAAATTCTAAAATGTTCAAATTTTATCATAATGCAATTTTCTTTAGCTCTGGCCATAGATAACATTTTAAATTTGTTTTTGCATCATATATAAGCCATAATTTATATGCTTTTTTATAGCTGTCTGACAATATTCACTATGGTATAAAATGTATGGGTTTATGTTTAACAGATTTTGTTTTGGCGAATCTTTTCGTAATTTTTACTTTGTCAGGGTAATACTTCCCCACTAAAATAATATAATTTTTACTTTTAATGGACATGAGCGAGTTGACGAGAATCCTTCCATCATTATTGTTAACATGGATAAAAAGCATATTATTTTTTAGATTTCAATCAAAGCGACCGTAAACAAATTAAATAAAAACTTAAGCCAGAAAAAAATTATTTGAATTAATGTTATAAAAATGGTATGCAATTCTGTATTGTATCGTAAGACTGGTAAGTTTATAGAGGCTATTCTCTTGGAAGGTAAGCTGGTCTGTTTAGAGAGGCTTGTCATTTGTGAAAGGCTGCTCTTTTGAGGCAGGCTGGTCTGTTGTATGGTATGACTGGTCCGTTGAGAGAGGCGGATTTTATGAATGGTATTTGTGGTGTGTTGAGAGAGGCTGATCTCTTGAATGATAGTGTCAAACAAGGCCTTGGTTTGACTGGCACTGCCCCACTAGAGAATGTCAAATTTGACATTGGCTTTGATCTGTACCATTTCTATTTTAACCGACTCCCTACGCGTCACCTTTTGAACTTGTCTGCAACTAGCCAACTAATTCAAGGTGTTATTAACATACAGACAGTTTGACAGAATCCATTTAGCTTTCATACTTATAGATTCGTCCTTCATTATACTCACCCATAATCAGTTGTTTTTTTTCCATCTAGGAGGAGTGGTAGCAAGAAATGAGTATCAAATGTGAACAAAACATAACGCGACTATTTTTTAAAGTTTAATGCAACGATAACAATACAACATTTATAATTGAACATGTGCATATTGAACAGAAGAATACAATAAAGGAAACAGTGAATTAATAACTGAACTAAATGCCATTAAAAATAGCTATAATTAATTATCCTTAACTTCTTATTGTATTCTAATTCTACCGGCAACACGTAGCAACACCAGCTTAAGAGATAGGTCATCTAACTCTGTCTACCACGTATACAGCGACTCCATCTTTAACTCTCTAATTACGTGTTTCCCCAAGTTTACTTCGCAGTTCTGGTATGGTGATGATGTGTGGTGGTCGTGGTCGGGAGGGGGGGGGGGGGGAGGGTCACTTGCTTTCGTACATGTCCAGTCGTCTTGGGTCAATAACCCTACCATGCAGTCGCATGGAGGGTGGATAATCCAGTCTCAATGAACAGAGGCGTAGTGGGGGGGGGGGGGGAGGTGGGGGTGCGGACCGCATCGGGTGACACCATTTAAGGGGGTGACACCAAGGCAAAAAATAGCAAAATATATAGAGAAAAACTTGAGGGGGGGGGGTGGATGCAAATCGAAAGTTTGAAAGTTTGTCCCCGGGAAGGGTCGCTACGCCTCTGGGGGGTGACACCATTAAGTGCCGCACCGGGTGACACCCGACCTCGCTACGCCACTGTCAATGAATATGAGGTTTAAAACTAACCAAGCCCCAATCAATAAAAGGTGATACATTTGATATCCAGGTAAGGCTGAAAAATGTTACCCCGTACTGATAATTTAACTGCAACTGACAAATAAGTTTTGTCCTGATATTTGTAAATCACCTGACCAACTTGACAGATGCATAATTTTCTTAGTTGAATTTAAATTCCTTAATCGTTCATGGAAATAAAATACTCGTGCGTTTCGTTGACTTGTTGTAAAGACAGTACTTGTCGATCATACAGAAAACCAACACACAGTTAGTGCTGTTTGACAATAATAATTATTGAATCAAATGGTAGGCCTACCCCTGACCTCCTGTGCAGAAATGTAATATTTATTCAGCGGACCCCATATACAAAGTTAGCCTCGATGTAGGTTCGAGCGCCTAGCGAACTGCCCTAATATAGCCCTAATATAAATTAAAAAAAAAAATGACAGAGAACTTAATATAAAATACAGGAAACATTTTTTACGTTTAAAGGGAAGCAACTCAATTAATATTTTCACAAAATCATCTTAGCCTGGTTACATCCCTTTATTTTGTTATTTTGAGTGGTTGATGTGAGACAAGGGAAGCAAGAATTAAAGATTTACTTGCAAGGACATCCCGAACATGACGAGGATCAGTTCAGTGATAAAATAATGCATTAAGAATAAATTATCAGACACCTAAACACACAAATAGAAATACATCTATTTGTGTATAGATTGTATGAGGTATTGAAATCCTTTGATTAATCAAAATTGACAAGTAAATGATGAGAAAAGTATAATGTAAATTACTTAATTACATATTCATTTTGAGCTTATAAACTAGTGTAGAGTTTACCTGTTTCTTGACCTCGGCATATAAAGGGACAGTGTGGTCAGCAATATGCTCATTCACCTTTACTTAACCTAAAGTGAGTTAGGTACCCATCAGAGCTGGGTGGACTCAGGGACGTTCTCCTGATTTGATCCCAGATTAGAACTTGAGACTTTTTGGTTAGCAGTCTAGCGCTCTACTGCTAGGCCATGCCTTCTGGAAGAGTGGTGCAGTAATCCATTAGACAGACATACACACACATACATACTGGCATTTATAAATACAGATCATTCCAGTAATTATGAAAGTATGAAGTAGCACATTACAAACTACAGAACTAGAATAAGTAAAACGATCAAAAATGTAATCAATTTTAACACATCATCATCTATAATAAATCAAATGAAAACGTAATCTATGCTATATTAGCTGCTAAATTATATATATATATATATATATATATATATATATATATATATATATATATATATATATATATATATATATATATTTATATATATATAAATATATATATATATATAAAAGACCCACAAGTACATTCTAGACACATCAGAGAGTGAGCTGTCTCTGTCGTCTGTTTGATTTGCAGACTTGATACTAAAATTATATATATATATATATATATATATATATATATATATATTTTTTTTTATATAGGTGTGTGTGTAAGTATGTGTGGTTTAATTGAAAGTGAATACTACAATAACCAATAAATAGAAATACCCCATAAAGCAACAAGGTTGATCTTTATATATATATACATAATCAAGAAAAAATAACTGTTTAAATTTCATTTAAATTATTTTACAATCTTCATCCAAGAAGAGGTTAAAATAAGTAAGCCAGTCAAGTAATAAAATGCGATATTACAGCAGCTCAACGTTTCTTGATGTTGTACTTACAAATGTTGATATTGGATAAACATGTATATTGAGTAGTAGACATAAACAAGATTTATAAAATAGTAGCTGTACCAAAAGGTTAAAGCACATTTATCCATAATTTTTTATTTAAATTCGTATTTATAAAATATTTCAACTTTCATTTACAACATACTTGTTTTAACAAGTGGTTTCTAAACTGCTTTGCGGCCAAAAAATAAATAAAAAAGTTTGAAATATTTGAAGTATCAAAAACTATTAACTGAACAACGTAAAATATATCTACAGAAGTGTTCGACAATTGATCCTGCAGACACAAGAATATTAAAGAAGGTAATGAAACAACAATATACACAAGAGCTGAGAGAACCATCCATTTTGTTAACAACGTCACCAGTTTGTGTGTTCGCGTTGAGAAAGTCTGACTTGCCATACGTTGATTGTTCAGATCAGAATTTTGTTGGCGTCTACCTGCCGCTAATAGAATTCTCATCACAGCACAAACAAAAAATGTTATGACAAACAAAGGAAGAATAATCATAAAGAGTGATTGAAATAAATAAAAAATTGTTTCAGTTATTCTTATAATACAAAAATCACCATCAAAATCTATAGTTAGAAAACAAAATGGAGCAAAAATTGAGACGACGATTACAACCATTAAAATAACTGCAATTTTACATCGTCTTTCAGTTACAAGGTGTACTCGTTTTAACGGATAACGAAGACAAATAAACCTTTCCACAATAATTAAAACAATATTCCAGTTCGCCAGACTTTTGGAAATACACAAAAGAAAACTTAAACATGTGCACATTGCAAAATTTAAAAACAACTTATTCACCAGTAACTCCTTATAAATTAAACTAATGAGCAGGCAGATTCCGTCAAAAAACGCCAATGATTTCAGAAATATTGTTGATGGTCCGAGTTCCTTGAAGGTACCTAGTGTTAGTAGGGTGAGAAGATTGGCTGGTATTCCAATGGCGCAAAATATCCACAAGTACATTCTAGACACATCAGAGAGTAAACTGTCTGTTTGATTTGCAGACTTGATACTAAAATTATATATATATATATATATATATATATATATATATATATATATATATATATATATATATATATATATATATATATATATATATAAGTATTTATATACGTTTGTTTTTTATGTAATTATATGTGTTTAAATTGAAAATGAAACTGCAATAAATATAAATACTGAATAAAGCAAGAAGATTGATCTTGATTTGTTTATCTAAAACTAATATCTTATCGTTTCTTTAAATTAAACTGCAAATTCAAAAAAAAAATTAATTTTTGCAAAGATAAATTGTTTAAAAATTAAACATGAAGCAACGATAAGTTGTTTTTAAACATATGCCCTAATTCAACGGCTAAACTTAAAACTAATAAATCAGATATTTTAAACATACACAAGCAGCAAATGGTTTTTGAACCTACACAAACAATGAATGATAATGCTAGCGGGGGAAAATTGTATAAAAAACGTATTTATCTAACTATTTATAATTTTTACAAATATTCTCATAGCGAGAGTAAACAAAATAAACGAGAGACCATTTAAAACGTAAAGTTTATATTTACCACGATTTTTTAAAGTGAAAACTGTCAAGAATAAATACAATTTTTATGTTTGAAAAACTTACTTGAGTGATGAGTTTAGAGTAGCAGCAGTCACCATATTGCCTTGGTCATTACTTGTAAAACATCAGAAGTTACATTCAAATGACTCTTTAGGACTGCTTCAAACAGACTGAGAATAGGACATCTAGTGTAACGATGTAATGTTTGAAATGAAACTAACATGTAAACCCTTAGTAAAGTTTTCATCGATTGCTTCTTGCATTAATGAATTACTTGAATTAAACATGGCTGGAATCGATATAAATCTCGCTATCCATTTAAGGATCGGTCCCTCATTTAAATAAAAAAAACAAATTCTAGAGTGTGTGGCGAGCCGGATTTTAAAATCAGCTAAACATTTAGACAGAGATAATCAATAATAAAGAACAATAAAATTTTAAAAAGATTTTTCCATAGCTACATTTTCGATTTGTTATTCATGGATTTTTTAAAATACTAAAAGACAGGTAGTTGTATTATATGATTATATTTACAACTAAGGTGGATATTTAGGTCCATATTATAGAATAAACAAATTTAGACAAATAGTGACATCATTTTGACTGATGTTAATAATAGAGCTCAAAATACCTAATTTTATCATTGTTGTACACTCAACATGTAGTGGTTCGTACGTATAGCTGACATTGTAAACTACTTAGTTTGTACAGCGGATCTAGCTTTCAAATCCTTATAAAACATTTACAAGGATTATACAACGAAGTATTCACTATCTTAGAAACGTTCTTAAAAATTGATTCATAATTGTATCAATGACACTAGGCTAATTAACATTAAGAATACTAAAATTTGTAGTACAAATATAAAAAAAAGTGTTTTTTTTTTTCTTTTAACAACATACGGCCATACTTTCGTCTTTTAAGTTAAATTTTAAATTCTCTCACATGCAGAGGCGTAGCTACCTATTCCGGCGCCCGGGGCGGGCAATCCTCCCATTTTTATAAAGTTATTCCTGTCTATGAAAAATCTCCCTTCATTTGATGTGTATAATTTGATAATTCAGCTTAAAAGAGCTTAAATTAATTTTTCTACCCCTTTTGGCGCCCCCTTGGGGTCGGCGCCCGGGGCGGCCGCCCCACCCGCCCTCCCCTAACTACGCCACTGCTCACATGTATTTCTGTAGATTCCTATAAACATTAAAAACTAGCTCAGGAAATTATCCAACGATGCTTTCATCGCGTAAACACGTTCGTCCCATCCAATATGTAACACAATTACTCTCCCCTTAAATCTGGCAACACGCAGGTATTCTGCTGTTTTAATGATGCCGATGTTTAATGCCGCTGCTGATCTAACAGATGAAACGTTTTAATTATTTATGTAATTCTCTGTGGCTCACGGTCGAGTATAATACCAGGGGTTGGGGCAGCTAAATTTATGGTAAAGGGAGGTCACTTTTTTGCACTTGTTTGTTGAATCATTAGCTCTCCTCTTTTTATCTCCCTTTTTATCAAATAACCTTTCTTTCTCTAACTCACACACTCATACACACCCATATATATATATTATATATATATATATATATATATATATATATATATATATATATATATATATATTATATATATATATATATATATATATATATATATATATATATATATATATATATATATATATACATATATTTATATATATATATATATATATATATATATATATATATATAACTAATTAATTTTAGTTAAGCTATTTATAAAATATATAATTTGAAATAAAACATTTTGTTTTGAAATCAGCCTTTATGTATGTCTCGAAGTTTACAAAACCCATTTTCAATTATCGGCATTAATTTAAATCGGAAAAGATATTTAAACAAGACGAGAAATGAAGCAATCTGTGTCGAATGTTTTCTAATTGTTGTGACGTGTAAAAATAAATAAAATTAAAAATAAATTTTTCGCCCCCACGTCATTATTGAACGCTCCCCCCCCCCCCCCCCTCCCCATCACATAAACTAAACAAATTCCTTCCGTCGCTCCCAGAAAAAAATATCACAGTTCTATACACCTTAATGTCCTGCTAGCGCTAAGTCCTATACACACTACTGTCCTCTAGCACTAAGTCCTATACACCATACTGTCCTGCTAGCACTAAGTCCTATACACCCTACAGTCCTGCTAGCACTAAGTCCTATACACCCTATGGTCCTGCTAGCACCAAGTCCTATACACCCTACTGTCCTGCTAGCACTAAGTCCTATACACCCTACTGTCCTGCTAGCACTAAGTCCTATACACCCTACTGTCCTGCTAGCACTAAGTCCTATACACCCTACTGTCCTGCTAGCACTAAGTCCTATACACCCTATGGTCCTGCTAGCACCAAGTCCTATACACCCTACTGTCCTCTAGCACTAAGTCCTATACACCCTACTGTCCTGCTAGCACTAAGTCCTATACACCATACTGTCCTGCTAGCACTAAGTCCTATACACCCTACTGTCCTGCTAGCACTAAGTCCTATACACCCTATGGTCCTGCTAGCACCAAGTCCTATACACCCTACTGTCCTCTAGCACTAAGTCCTATACACCCTACTGTCCTGCTAGCACTAAGTCCTATACACCATACTGTCCTGCTAGCACTAAGTCCTATACACCCTACTGTCCTGCTAGCACTAAGTCCTATACACCCTACTGTCCTGCTAGCACTAAGTCCTATACACCCTACAGTCCTGCTAGCACTAAGTCCTATACACCCTATGGTCCTGCTAGCACCAAGTCCTATACACCCTACTGTCCTGCTAGCACTAAGTCCTATACACCCTACTGTCCTGCTAGCACTAAGTCCTATACACCCTACTGTCCTGCTAGCACTAAGTCCTATACACCCTACTGTCCTGCTAGCACTAAGTCCTATACACCCTATGGTCCTGCTAGCACCAAGTCCTATACACCCTACTGTCCTCTAGCACTAAGTCCTATACACCCTACTGTCCTGCTAGCACTAAGTCCTATACACCATACTGTCCTGCTAGCACTAAGTCCTATACACCCTACTGTCCTGCTAGCACTAAGTCCTATACACCCTATGGTCCTGCTAGCACCAAGTCCTATACACCCTACTGTCCTCTAGCACTAAGTCCTATACACCCTACTGTCCTGCTAGCACTAAGTCCTATACACCATACTGTCCTGCTAGCACTAAGTCCTATACACCCTACTGTCCTGCTAGCACTAAGTCCTATACACCCTACTGTCCTCTAGCACTAAGTCCTATACACCCTACTGTCCTGCTAGCACTAAGTCCTATACACCCTACTGTCCTGCTAGCGCTAAGTCCTATACACCCTACTGTCCTCTAGCACTAAGTCCTATACACCCTACTGTCCTGCTAGCACTAAGTCCTATACACCCTACTGTCCTGCTAGCACTAAGTCCTATACACCCTATGGTCCTGCTAGCACCAAGTCCTATACACCCTACTGTCCTCTAGCACTAAGTCCTATACACCCTACTGTCCTGCTAGCACTAAGTCCTATACACCATACTGTCCTGCTAGCACTAAGTCCTATACACCCTACTGTCCTGCTAGCACTAAGTCCTATACACCCTACTGTCCTCTAGCACTAAGTCCTATACACCCTACTGTCCTGCTAGCACTAAGTCCTATACACCCTACTGTCCTGCTAGCACTAAGTCCTATACACCCTATGGTCCTGCTAGCACCAAGTCCTATACACCCTACTGTCCTCTAGCACTAAGTCCTATACACCCTACTGTCCTGCTAGCACTAAGTCATATACACCATACTGTCCTGCTAGCACTAAGTCCTATACACCCTACTGTCCTGCTAGCACTAAGTCCTATACACCCTACTGTCCTCTAGCACTAAGTCCTATACACCCTACTGTCCTGTTAGTACTAAGTCCTATACACCCTACTGTCCTGCTAGCACTAAGTCCTATACACCCTACTGTCCTCTAGCACTAAGTCCTATACACCCTACTGTCCTGCTAGCACTAAGTCCTATACACCCTAATGTCCTGCTAGCACTAAGTCCTATACACCCTACTGTCCTCTAGCACTAAGTCCTATACACCCTACTGTCCTACTAGCACTAAGTCCTATACACCCTACTGTCCTGCTAGCACTAAGTCCTATACACCTACTGTCCTATAGCACTAAGTCCTATACACCCTACTGTCCTCTAGCACTAAGTCCTATACACCCTACTGTCCTACTAGCACTAAGTCCTATACACCCTACTGTCCTGCTAGCACTAAGTCCTATACACCTACTGTCCTATAGCACTAAGTCCTATACACCCTACTGTCCTCTAGCACTAAGTCCTATACACCCTACTGTCCTCTAGCACTAAGTCCTATACACCCTACTGTCCTCTAGCACTAAGTCCTATACACTTACTGTCCTGCTAGCACACCGCGTAGTGGTAGTAAATTATTTTCTGTTTGATCTTTTAACTGACTTATAATTGAAAGTGGTTATCTCTTCATGTTGACTTTTTTGTTAAACTTTTAATTTTACAACTACAACCTCATCCCCAAGTCTACGTTTTCAGCCAGTGTTTATGTTGCGAAAATTATTAGATATTTTTATTTTGTTTAGTTTTATGACAGGTTATTATTCTTTTATATGATGGACTGAATTTGTAACTTTATTATGTTTAAGTTTGTATGACGATTTTTATACGTGTTTAAATGATAGACCTAACGTATTTTTCTGTACATTTACGTTTATAATACAGATTATATACGTGATTATTCACGTGATGAACTAAACATGTAGTTTGTTAATATTTTTGTCAAACTCAACTCTATAGTCACGGGTTGTCCATAAACGACGTCATACTTTTACAACAATTTATACTTCCCTTTCCCCCCACTACCAAACGTCGTCACAATGTTCTTCTTCTAAGACAACGATTTCTTTTGTAAATATTTACCAACCTCGGTCAATATAAAGCAGAGGCGTAGCGACCCCTCCCGGCGCCCGGGGACAAACTTTCAATTTGGCACCCCCCCCCCATATATTTTTTAATATTTTAAATTCAAAACTGCAGCTAAAATGAGCTTTTAAATTTTTTTTCAACCCATTTTGGCGCTCCTAGGGTCGGCGCCGGGACGGAGTTGTCTAGCGGTAGAGAGCTGGACTGCTAACCAGTAAGTCTCTAGTTCGAATCCGGGTTCAAGTCAGTAGACCGTCCCTGAATCCACCCAACTCTGATGGGTACCTAACTCACGTTAAGGAAAGTAAAGGCGGCTGGGCATAGTTCTGACCACACTATCTCTTCATATGCCGAGGTCAAACCTCACGGTCTATGGGGCAAGTGAAGTAGAGTTCACTTGCCCCATAGACTGTCAGCCCCCCTCGCTACGCCTCTGATATAAAGTATGAATGCGAAAAAAACTTCTGATATGCTGGGTCAAACATTCTAAATAATGTTGATAATCAGTCGTCATAATTTTTTAACTCCCCCCTTCCCTCATCACACAAATGCAAACTCCACTCCATTCCTTAGCAGTGTGACGTCATTTATGGATTAACTCTTAGATAAAGATGTGATCGCCCTATGTAATTTGTTATTAGCATCTGTTCCATATTTAACAGCTTTTCCCTGTGTTACAATTTACAATATTTTTCTGCCGAGCTCATTAACGATTTCATCATTACACAGGCCAGTGATCTAAAACATGCTCTTAATTTGGTCCACTACCGAGTTCACGACATTTGTTGGCCATAATTAATGATCTTTTATTTATTTATTTAAATACCGACAGCGGTTATTTGTTTCAGTGCAAGGAAATCAATACACTTTTTAACGTGGTGCTCATCACTTTGGTAATTAATGAAAACAAAACGCGAGACTCAAGTAGTGCAGCTGTGAGAATGGGACAACAATATGGTTGGTATAAAACAAACGACCAAGTCTGCTTCATGCGGAACATGCGGAGTAGTAAAACTGCATGCTTTATTGAATACTAGGCATACTGCCTAGCTTCGCTTAGGTTTTCAAAAACATTTGATAATTTGAATACTAATTATTTGGTGATGGATGAGGCTTAAATCTAAACAGTAATGCTAATTTTAGAGAAGATGTTGAATGATCTTTACCAACCCATCAGAGAAATTATCTGAAAGTACGCAATTTATAACTAAAATGGAAATAGAAATACAGAGGTTCCATGAACAGTATATCTCATAATTTACATTACATTGACTTTTAAAATTAATTTTTAATTTAATTATTATACGTAACTTAATAAACAACTTATTTTTTTCTAAAACAAATGCTATACTTTGTCGTTTTCTGTTTCTGTTTAAAATAGTATACAATTATTTGAAAAAAAATTATTTAAAAAGGTTACCCCCCTTGAAAATTAACCAAATGACGTATGTCTGTGTTTACTTTTTTTTTAAACAAACAGTTACTATGCTTATATAAGAAAATACGATATATAAACATATTTAATGACTACAATGGCTTTTTCCGACGGGAATAAAGTTTTTTGTTACCCTCCAGGGTCGGTCTACGACCTCAAATAATATTAAAGGGGATCGATCGTCAATTTATTTATATATATCTCATATAAGGAGAATTTCACTCGCGGTCATCTTTTAGCACTGGTCGAGGGCTTTGAGTCTGACCAAAAGTTTTTCCATACGGCCTAGTCATCTATAGAAATGTATGCATGTACAAAGGTTAAGTAACGTAAAAATTGTGTTGAAATTACCCTGTTTTTCCCATAAAATACAAAGATTATAAAGGGAACTACGACTGGTCAGTTTTGACCCCTTTACGAAGTTTTCCCAGATATGCCGAGTTAATTGTGACACCCCAAGGCGTTCTCCTACCACCTCACAAAATATCAAGGGGGGTCGTCGGAGGTTTTTTTTTACGTAATATAGCCCATATAAGGCGCCGGTCAGTCGAGGTCAGTTTTGACCCCCTCCCCGTAGACTTTTCGGCAAACCCTCACCGGCCCTCGTGTTATATCGCCCCGAGTCACCATCGTGCCAATTTTTACGCGCCTGCGGCGCCGGGAAGTGCCCTATCGGGCTCTTGACCACTTTGCTTTATATATATAGATTATTCGTTTTAATATACATTAAGATGTAGCGCATTACAAATTATAGAACAATGATCAGTAAATAGACTACACATTTAATACATTAAACTTCAAACAAATAACATAAAAAATATAAAGCAATATCAGTTCCTTCATACCTACTAATATATATATATATATATATATATATATATATATATATATATATATATATATATATAATACAATATTAATGAACATTAAATCACAAAAAAGTCTATTCTTTTAAGAAAACCATTATAAATTTAGTTTTAGAAATCGCCAATCAAAGAACGTACCAGTCTGCAAACCAGTCCGTTTATAACTAGCGATGTTAACGGTATTGCCTTGATGTTGATCATGTATGTTGTATTGATTTATATATCCAAATGTGGATAGAGAATCCAGTTTCTAAAGTAGCATTAATAATAAAAGAACATTAGTTTGACGACTTTCAAAAACAAAATAGTTGTTTTAACAAGTATTTTCTAAATTGTTTTGCAGCTAGAAAATACACGAAAAAATTCGAAATATATGACGTATCAAATATTATTAACTGGACCAGGTAAGGTATATGTACAGATGTCTCAGACAATTTATTATAAATGCACATGTATATAAGAGAAGGTAATGAAACAACAATATACACAAGAGCTGAGAGAACCATCCATTTTGTTAACAACGTCACCAGTTTGTGTGTTCGCGTGGAAAAATTCTGACTTGCCATTTGTTGGTTGTTCAGATCATAATTTTGTTGGCGTCTACCTGCAGCTAATAGAATTCTCATGACAGCACAAACAAAAAATGTTATAATAATCAGAGGTAGAATAATTATAAGCAATCCTTGAACTACGAGAAAAATT